TTATTAACGCTCTCTTTAAAACAACAGTTTATGGGAAAAATTTTGTGACTACCATGCAAGACTCCCAAGTTAAACCATATAATATTGTTAAATTGTCAAAGTTAGCAATAACACATGGTTTAAATTGTCAAATTTAACAATATCACATTAACTTTTTTAAAAAGCAACAGAAGGCCTTATGAATAACTAGTAAAGTCATGCATGCGTATTTGAGTTCTCAAAATTCAATACAAACAGTCGAACTCGTAATGTAGACGTTGAATTAACGTGGAATCAATGTTGATATTAATTTATAGTTTTTAAACAAATTTTCAACGTTGATACAATGTTGGTTTTTGGTTATACAACATCGCAACTAAAAATCAAACGTAATGCAAGGTCGAAATAACGTTGTGTGCCCACTGGGAATATATTTGAGATTATAGAGATATAAAATAGAATCCAGAGTAAGAAAGTGGCAAACACAATTAAGAGATGCAATCTTAGCAGATGCTAGTTTTGTAATATATATAATAAATGTTTCAAGAAAGATCATAAATAAGAGTTAATTCTAGAAGACAAAAGATAGATGACACATAGAGTACATTAACGATTATAAATTCAGGAAGATCTATTTTTATTTGGGTTAAAGTTCACCAGCCTTTGAGAGGCTGCATGCTGTAGCAGTGAGATCCTTTTCAAGCTTAAATTCCCCCTCCAAGCAAATAGAGAGTGTTGGCTTCTTATCAAGACAAAAATAAATGGTAGTATCATCAGTGAATAATGCTGCCATGAATGTAAGAGTTTCTGGGAGAGTTTTAATGTAAATTAAAAAAGTATAGTGTCAAGAATAGAACCTTGTGTAAGCCCTTAAATTACAGGAAGTGAAGAAGAGTGCAGACCATTGAGAGCAACTGTTGTACTACGATTTGTAAGGAAGTATTCTATAATCTTAAAGATATTACCTGATACAACATAAGATGAAAGCTAATAGAGAAAACCAGCATGCCAAACTTTATCAAAGGCTTTAGAAATGTCGAAAGTGATAGCCCTAACCTCTCCACATAGATGTGATAGATAGATCTATCTAATGCATCTGTCCTATCTATATTTATCTGATAAAACCTACTAGTTATTACCGTTACTAAATCTGCAAATAAGATCAAAAAGGTATTTAATTTCTAGGTAAGAGATTAGGTGCTTAAAGTATAACTTAGTTCATTATTTATTAGTCCAAAAAAATGCCTTATTACTATTAATAAACCCTAAGCTGTAACAATAGGCTTGAAATATGTCCTCAACAATGCACACTAAAAATATAAACAGGGACACTATTAATGTGAAATATGGCACTGTTAGTACTCTGACATTTTATAGCTGTTGATGGAATCAGTCTCACTGAAACCTACCACATTGTTTGAGAAACCTAACAACTAGTCGAACAGAACTGTAAACTGAGTTTTAGAGCTGTACCCTTATTAGAAGATAATAGGATGAGTTGCCTACTCATAAAAATAGAAGCAAAACCCCTTGCATTGAGTCAAGAACATCCAGCATTCTACATCATAAACTGGAAACAATGTATTATAAATGCATCTACACCAGCCTAATAGATGAAGTAGGAGTGCAAAGCTGGTCAACAGATAGAATCAGTTTAACCCTTAAATACTTAGTAGAATCTAGTTACCTTGGGCTTGGGATAAATTGGACAGATTTTCAATTCCCCTTGAACTTCATTTATCAGCTTACTATAAAATCATTCATTTAAGTCATACCCTGATTATGTCTGACCATTTTTTAACTTGTCCTTTTTTTTTTAGCGTATCTTTGGCATAAAACTTTGCTTAACTAGGACTTTTATTTTGAATTTTAAAACTTCTAGTATTTAAAAAAAAATTTCAAACTTTGAATACTCAATAATAAAATACTTTGCATCAAATATTGCTAAACATAGCAAAGTATTTTCACTGATATCTTCAATTTGATTCATTTAAATTTTATTTAATAATGACTATTATATTATTAATTCAAAAACATCTATTAAAATTCAAAACTTAGAACATTTGAAAGTTAAATACTTTTGTATCAAATATAATTTAATAATCTAAACATAATTATTGATATCTTTGATGTGTGAATTTTTGATTAATTTTATTTACTAAAAATGCCAAAGATTGCTAAAAGAAAGCTAACAATTAGAAGCAGAAAAATACTAAAAGAACTTGACAAAGGAGAGTTGTCTGCATCTATATCAAAGAAATATGGCATTCCAAAGCTTACATTGTCTGAATAGTCAAACAAAAAAAACACAATTTATTCAGAAGTCGAAAAAAATTAATCTGAAAAAAGAGTGAGTCTCCCTATATGAAGATTGAATAAAGTTGTCTTTAAAACACTCGACACTAAAACTGTGTCATTCTGTGTCAATAAATCTCAATAAGTTGCACATTTTCAAAAAGTCTGAAAAGTCACCTATTATATAGTCTTTCATTTTTAAAAGTTATGATATAGTATTTAGCACACTGCAAGACACGACTTCCTGTTTGATTGAAAGAGTGATCAACCGAAATTCGCTTTCGGTTCCGGCCACAATTTTGACAAGATTTTTCGGTTCCTGTTTCAGTATTATTAAAGATTTTGGTTCCGGCCCATTAATTTCGGTTCGAAATGCTACAGAAAATGGATATCTTAAAGCTTTATTAAGCATTATCATTTTGATAAAATAATTTAAAAAAAAATTTTTTTAATTAAATGATAAGCTTGAAAATTAACGGAAATAAGATTTTGCTTTGTCTGAAAAGAAAATAATTTTCTTGTTTAAAATAATATACATATCTTGAAATTTTTTTTTATCGTTATTATTTGAAAGATAATATTGTTAATCATATAATGTCAAAAATTATTGTGCAATCTCAAATAGGACCAAATGCACGTTTATCTTCCAAAATTATAAAAGAAGCGTTGAATAATTTTTTGGATAGTCCAATAACTTTGCAATGCCTTGAGTTTCGGAAAAGCTATGAAAAAAAAAATGCAAAATGCAAAATCAAGTTAGCATTGACTAAGGTGGCAAAAAAGTACCTCGCACCACCTCCAACATCAACAGATGTTGAAAGACTGTTTTCTACAACAGAATCCATCTAACAAATTTGGAAAAACATCTATTTTGTCGAGAAAATTTTCCAGTTGTTGGATTCTGTTATTAGTTATTTTTATTAATTTAATATTTTGCTTAAATTAAAACTAACTTTAAAAAATAATATATATTGTTGATTTTCGGTTTTGGTTCCTGTTCCAGTTTGGGTTTATTTTCTGTTCCGGTTCCAGTAATGAATAATAAAAATCGATGGTCGGTCGATCACCAGACTGAAATATTTGTTTGATTTTTTAATTTAATTTCCGGTCGATCACCAGACTGAAATATTTGTTTGATTTTTTAACATCCTATTTAAAGAAAAAAACAAATAACAAATTCTTTTGAAAAAAAAAAAAAAATAGAAATACTAAAATGAAACTCAAAAAACTTAAACTCAAACCCAAAATTACTTTTTGTTACATTTTTAATTGCAATTGAAATAAATTACTTTAAATCTTTTGAAATGTTTTATTATAAATTTACAAAAAATTACTTCTAATGATTGTTTAAATAAATGAATAAATTTTATTTAAATTATTTAAAAGTGTTAAATATAATATTTTTATATAAACATTTTTTTTTTTTTAAAGTTACAAAGGAAAATTTGTTTTTTTTTATAATAGTAATGAACTTAATTAAAAAAATTATTAAAATAGTTTGAGGTTATTCATGCCTATTGTAATTGAAAGTAAAAAAAAATATTTTCAAAAATTAAAACATAAAAAGATTTTTTTAAAATTGTAAGAAAAAACATTACAAAATGCTTCTAAACTTTTTAATCAACACAGTACATGCTTATATAAGTAGAAAATGTAATTCTTAACACTAATTCTTAACAACTAGACACAAAAGGTTTTGAACTCATTCATAATTTAAAGTGACATAAAAGAAAAAGTTTTTAAAAAATAATTGTTTAAAAGATTTTTAGAAAGGCATGAAAAGATAGTTTCAAAGGTTTAAACTTATAAAAAATACATGCCTACATAAAAAAATGTTACACATAACATTTTTGTTAATTTACACAAAATGCATCAACAGTTAAAAGGTATTCATAATGTAACAAATTTTTTATTGCATTTAAATTGTTAAAACATTAAAACAGCCATGGTCAAATTGTAAAGATAAAAACCATAAGCGATCGCACACCATTCTTGCTCAAGCCTGATAACATTTATATATATATATATATATATATATATATATATATATATATATATATATATATATATATATATATATATATACATATATATACGTATTAGTGCTTACATATTTCTTCGTGAGAGTGCTCAATGAATTAAAGTAAATTAAAATGATTTAAATTAAAACAGCTGTTTTTATATATAATTTTTATTAATAAAGTGATATAAAAGAATATGTATTTTTATTTATTATATATATATATATATATATATATATATATATATATATATATATATATATATATATATATATATATATATATATATATATATATATATATATAACAATTACTAAAGCGTATTTTTATAAGCATTTACTCACTTTTTTTGCTTACCTTAACCCATACAGCTTTTTTAGAAAAAAAAGAAAAAAAATGAATGCTGCCCCCATCCCAAACCCTCAGTCGGTGTAGCAGCACTCCACTGCGAGTCAGGCTATTTGTCAATTGATGTAATATTGAAGCCCCCAGCAGCGGGCTATTTCAGTATGATGTCAGATTGCTTACCGTAGTACGCAATACTATTTGTATATATATATATATATATATATATATATATATATGTATATATATATATATATATATATATATATATATATATATATATATATATATATATATATATATAATAAAAAAGTATACATAGTATCATTTTTATTTTGATGATTTTACTGCATGTTTCAGGGCAGACTTGTCTGATGGTGTAAAAGAATCTCAAGGTCTTTTATCCAAGGAAATTGCTGAGATCGAAAATTTAAACAAAAAACCTGAAAAAAGTCAAACTAAGCAAAACTGTTGCAATATAAAACAATGGTCAATTGTGGAACTCTGCAGGTATTTTTTTAAAGAATACTTTTGTTACCTAAAAAAAATTTAAATGAAGTTTTAAGAGTATATAACTATTAATGTCATCTTAAATTTTAATAACCAAATTTTTTTAATTTCAAAATAATTAGGCTATTTAATTAAGTATTTATACTATTATTTATAATATAAATATATATGTTTTAAATAAGTATTTAAATTTTTTTTTAATGTGTTTTTTTATTAATGAAATTGTTATAATTTTTATTTATAATTGAGTTTATTAAATGTGTTTCTATGTTCTTTATTAGTATTTTTTAAAGAAAAACACATCATGTATGTATATATATATATATATATATATATATATATATATATATATATATATATATATATATATATATATATATATATATATATATATATATATATATATATATATATATATATATATATATATATATATATATATATATATATATATATATATATATTAAAGAAGAAAAATCATTTTTTTTTAATGGTACTTTAAGTTTTATTGTTATACAGCAATTATCAGCCATTGAATATAAAATCAAAAACAAAAAAACCAGCTAAAATTACAAATTACTGTATAGTGGGATCTTTATGTCGCAAATACATACTTAATGGCAACCAAAGAAAAAACAAGATATTAGCTAATCACCGGTGTCAAAAAAAGATAAAAGGAATTTATTCTTGTGCCTGCATTTTGAAATCAATTAATTTTGTTTATTTAACAAGTTATCACCTTTATGTGTTAAAATAAGGAATTTTTTGAATAAGCAAAGATTCGTTATTTTTCGAATAAGCAAAGAGGCGCTATATTTTTTATTTATTTATTTTATTTATATATATATTTTAGGATTGCAATGTTTTACAATTTTCCACTTATATAAGGGAGAAAATGTTTTGTTTTTTATGTCCCAAATATCTTTAGACAACTCAGTATCATTTTTATATTTAATAATTTTAGGTGATTATAATACCAAGATTTTAATGGAGTTTCATACTCGCCAAAATATAACCTGACTACAAAGACAAAGTATATTTTGGCTTATGTGATACTCCATTCAAATATATATATATATATATATATATATATATATATATATATATATATATATATATATATATATATATATATATATATATATAATATATATATATATATATATATATATATATATATATATATATATATATATATATATATATAATTATATTTAGATGAATAAAAACAACTGATTAGCGGGACTTAAAGTTTCATGCCCGAAGGCAATCATCAGCCGTTAATACAAACAAAAAACGTAAACAAACCGTTACAAAAACGTAAAAATTACTGTAGAAACGGTTTGTTTACGTTTTTTGTTTGTATTAACGGCTGATGATTGCCTTCGGGCATGAAGCTTTAAGTCCCGCTAATCAGTTGTTTTTATTCATCTAAATATAATTATATATAGCTCTATTATTCAGTAATATTGAGCACTGTAACACGTACAAGAGACTTCGTATTATTACATCAAAATACTTAACCTCGAATATATTCTATATATCGAAATCTATACAAATATATATATATATATATATATATATATATATATATATATATATATATATATATATATATATATATATATATATATATATAGTCACAGACAAAGTTAAGTAACATTAATGAAAATTGAAACTCAAACAATAAAAACAAATTTGTTTATGTCAGAATCTACATAACTGCTATAACTTCAAGTTTTTTTTTTAAATTTGATTCCAAAGAGAAAATAAAATTCAATATCAATGTGTTTTTTATGTGTATAGAACACTAATATTAAATAGCACATAAAACATTATAATATTGAAGGATGCATAAATAAAAAATGATAAAGAACATGTTTTTATATACTCTTCTATAAGTATGGTTTTTTTGTGTGTTTTTTTATATCATTGTGATTTTATGAATTATATCAGTGACAAAGATGTAGTGTTGACTGTTATCATGTTTGGCATCTCAGGATTTTGCATTATTGGTTTTTCTGAACTTTCATCATTATGGATGGCTACAAGCCTAAATTATGGTATGTTTTTAATTTTTTTTTTTTAATTTTCATAATTATTTTTATGCTTGGTTCCCAGTTATATACTTACATAATTTCTAATAGGTGGCCTATCTTTTGATACTGATAAAATTGGTATTACTTTATTGGTACCTGCCATTTTATCAATCATACTACAACCTATTCTGTTTTCAAGGGTAATTTTTTATGTTTAATCTATTTTTATTGTATTATTTATTCAATTTTTTTTTGGTGTTATAATTATTAGCTTTTTTTTTTTATTTTTAATTTGAAACAACATAATTTATAATCGACAGATACATACATACATACATACATACATACATACATACATACATACATACATACATACATACATACATACATACATACATACATACATACATACATACATACATACATACATACATAGTCCCATAACATCGACAGAGAGTTTAGGTTCTTTTTTTTTCATTTACTTTATTTTTTATTTTCTTCTGATGATTAAAGAATTTGTGTGCTTTATCCTAATATATTTTGTGTGCTTTAAAAATCACAGCACATAAACTATATAATATTTTCTAGATTGACTACTCTTGACAAACTGCTTTTTTTTTCTTTTTTTTTTTTTTTAAAAAAAAACCTTTACTTTCAACAAGGCTGCAAGCAACCACTATTAGAGTTGGAAGTTACTGGAATGAAGATGAAGTTTCTAAAGCAAGATAACAATTACCAGACGACTTTGAAGGTTTCAAATTATATGAATCAGAAAAACAAGATAAAGGAAGCCCATTCCAAAAAACTGATGTTCCAGGAAAAAAACTAAATGAATAAGAATTTTAGCAGCACTTAGGAACAGTCACAGTAAAAGAATGAGACTTAATGGAATGACGAGTAACACAAGAATAAGTATTAGTAGATGGCGCAAGAATTGCAAGCTTAGAGCAATACCCATGAGTTGTTACCATTTTTTTGCAAAGTTGTTATAGCAACCATAATTTAAATTCATGTCACCAAGGTTAACAAAATCTATAATTTCTTCTGTGTTAATTATATACAAGTTTTTTTTTTATTTTTAATTTCATCAAATAACAATAAAATATATTTTCTATTTCACTAAAATGTTTTTTACTTTTAATTCCTCTAAAATTTTAACAATATCAAGATTGAAACCATGTTGAGGATGAATATAATTCTTTTAGTCATCAAAATGACGCGAATATTCTCATATGCACTTGGAGACTTTGCACAGAGATCAAAGCAATACAGTTTAATAAATTTAATCAGTTTAAAAGAATGATATCGTATAGGTGTTGGATTTGATAATATTTATTTTTGTTGCTCACACCAAAAGAAATTCATAAATGGTGAAACATTTATCAAAAGCATTTGACATTAGGTTTTTCATATAATCATCAAGATCAGATAGTACTTTTAATAAATATTTTTGATTTTCATCTTGCATATTTATTGTTTCACAAAAGCATTTTGAGATTGATAGCTATGCATAGTAATTTCAATTCTCTCAGGTGAGATTATTGAGATAGGGGCATTTAATTAAGCAGGTGATTGTTTCAGCTTAATATTTTAAAGTTTTGTTAAAGGGATCCCCAACTGCCAAGACAAGTTGTGTTCGTATTAAAGAAAATGTTTAAAAAAACAATTTGGGCTAAATTTTTTTGATTAAAACTATATAATGAATGAACACCATTAAATTTAAAATTTTTGTTATAGTCGAAGCTCGCTATCTCCATTTTTTTTTTGGTTCTTGGAGTCTGTATGTTAGCCGCAATCTACAGACTTGATAATTTATTCCATGCGTGTTTAATTCATAACAGTTTCAGTATATGACGTCATCGTATTAATTTTTTTTTTCAAGATTGTCGTATTATTTTTTGCTACAATCACCGAATCATGTTAATTGTATAACTTTTTACTAAATCCCAAAAAAAAGTTTATGATGCAACTAAAAATTAAATCTATAAAATTTATAAAAATAAAAGTTTAATATATAACGAATATTTACAGTAAAACACACTGGTTTAAACTAAGTATAAATTAGATAATTAAAAAAATAATTTTACTAAAGCGTATAAATTAATTTAAAGTATAAACTGAATAAAAAACAAGTGACTTGAATAAAACATATAAACTGAACTAAGTAGAGAATAAATATTAAACAAATTATTTTATTAATAACCATTAAAATCGAACTAAATTAACGTTAAAACAAATATTTGTACTAAACAAATATTTATAAATATACAAAAAATAGTTATAATATAAATACAAAAACGAAGAATCGCATTAACTTGTTCGCTGCCAGACGAATATTTTTTGAGTAACATTTGAATAGAATAACATTGACAATTAATTAAAGTTCAATAATAATATAGTTTTTAACACGTATCATTAAACAATAAGAAATGCAAAGTGCTTAAAACCATTGTTTTTATAAGTAGTAACTAAAACATTAAGTCCAAAACAAATCTCGTTTAATGAATAAAAATATATATTTTTTTAAGACACTTTGGTAATTGCTTAACTAAATACTTAACACTTCTACAAGTTAAGTTTTACAGTGTTAATGTTGTTTTATTTTATAACTAAATTTAAAGAAGTTTTTTTCATGAAGAATTATTCAAGATTTTTTAACTATTTTATAATTACATAATTACATCCATATATTGATCAATATGTCTGGAGCATTGTATTTTTAGTTAAAAAAAATTTTTCAATTGTTTTTTAAAAAATTCAATCATCTCTATATAAACCCTTGGTATTTGATTCGAATTCTTTTATAAAGGTAAATAAAATAAAAAGCTACACCAGTTGGTATAACTCAGCAGGGTATGATACTACTATTTTAATAATACCGCTATTATTAGTATTAGGGTATTAGGGTATGAGAGTGTGTTATCAAGTGCTTTTAGAATGTTGACACCAGTGTGTCACTCTTTGAATAGGCACAGCTCTAATGTTAAACTCAGCATCGTCCTCCCATTGTAGTGTTAAAATTAGAATCTCCTGATTTTTTAACCTACATATTATTTTTTTCAAAAATTAGGATTTTTCAAAAATGATAAATAATATTAATTGCCTTAGGGGTCATTCATAAATTATGCCATGTTCTAGGGGGAGGGGAGGGGTTAGTGGTTTTGTGATGACTCGTATGGGACTTGTTACTAAAGAGTTGCAATGTTGTGACATGGGGGAGGAAGGGGAACAGAAATGATCAAAATTATCTGGCGTAATTTATGGATGACCCCTTATCTGAAATTTTAATAAATTTTTTGGCATGGAGTTAAGGAATCATGAAGAAGCTGTTTAGAAATGGAAGCATAAAAATTAGCAATGTCGTATTGAACAAAATAACTTTTTATTCATTGATATTATTAATTTTTTTAAATCCATTTTGAAACCATTTTAAAATGCCATTCATACTATGCAATTGATGCACAAGGGTAGCATTTGTTTATATTATTTAGTAAAATTAAGCTAATTTTTCCTAATTCAGACTTAGCAGAGTTGATTAATCGGCACTGTACTCATGGCAAGTTGTTCTAATCAAACTATTAGTTTGGCTTCCATATTAATATTGTTACATTGTGTAATATCAGACTCTTTATAAATTTTAGTAATATTATCAGTATAAAGTTTTTCATATGAAAGCTTATCAATTTCATAAAGATTTTAAGTTTTATCAGCAAAAATGAACACGTTATCCAAAAATTGGCTTTTAGCACACATCAAAGCTTTCCATCTCATTTGTTTTACAAGCTCTATTTTCTCTCTTAAATATTTTAAATATAGTTTTTTTGATGGTATTGTTACGTTCTTCATTGAGTAGTTGAAAGAATGTTTCATAATTGGAATTGTTTATGATAACCAAAATAAGTCTGTCATGAAAATAAGTTCATTATCAAAAAATTAAATGTCATCAAAGAAGACATTACACAGTATTTTTAAGAAATTTTTTGCCATTATGTTTTTAGTATTTATATACAATAATTTCAGATATTATATAACGAGTAATGATACTCGTTATATATAAGTCAATACCAAGAAGGTATATATAAGTCAATACCAAGAAGGTATATATAAGTCAATACCAAGAAAAAACATATAAGTCAATACCAAGAAGGATGGTCTCATTTCGGGGGGTATTGTTTACATACTTAAGTTGATACTATTAGTATTGGTTTGATACCACACGATACCAAGAAGGACAGTCTCATATTGTGTGGTATCACTTATGTACCAATGTCGATACTATCAATATCGCTTCGATACCAAACGATACCGATAATAAAAAGAGTTGTATAGTATCCAATGGTCTCGAATTGATACTTTCAATATGACAAAAAAAATTAAAAAATGACTTTAAAATTTTTTATTAACAAAGTACTATTGCTTTTTAGAGATTTAGTTATTGTTTTTTTAACAACCTAAAATAATTTGGCTATCGCCCATTCGTTGTTTATTCCTTTGCTGTACTTTCATTGGTATTTTAGGATTTTCTTCTAATTATATTGGCAAAGATAAGTCTGATTCATGTATTATACACTTTCATTTTCTTGTTCGATGGGACATTTTTTGATGTTATTTTCAAGAGCAGAATAGTTCTGCATTATAAATACAAGCTTATCTGCCTTATCACTATCTGCCTTGTATCTATGATCAGTGATGACAAGGCCAGAAGCAGAAAATGCTTTTCAGATAATGCAGTGGTTGGTGTAGTTGCCAAACAGGGTCTTGCAACACTGGAAAAGATAGGAAGTTCAGTTGCATGCTGCTTCCACCATGCTAAGTTGTCAGTTTTACCTGCATTTTTGGATCTTATTATTTTTCTGTTTTTTTTCATTTCTAGTTTAATAGGAGGGTTTTTATGTGTGAGGTAGTATATTCCTTATCTTTTTCTAAAATAACATTATATTCATTTTCCTCTCAACCTAGTGCATTATCAGCACCGGAATCATTACTAGCATTATTACTGGAGCTTGAGATAATAAAGAATTCTCAAAGTATTTTTTAGTGGTGGAATGGTTTTCAACCATTCATCAATGGTTTTGAATATTTTCATCGTCAACATCAAGAAGATAGGAAAATAGAATGAGGTAATGTCCTAGTGCAAATGCAGGTAATTTACGGTCTTTTTCTGGGAATCTCTTATTTAGTTCTGATAATAAGTTCTCCA